ACCCTAAACCCTAAACCTCGCTGCGCAGGACGGCCTGCAGCGAGACCTGCGGTCTCGGCGAGCGGCGCCGTGAGCGCAGCGTCGCACATGAGGCCGGGAGTCGATGCCACCTCAAGATTCAGGGGTTTAGGGGGCTTAGGGGTTTGAAGGTTTTAGGGCTTTAGGGCTTTAGGGGTTTAGGGTTTGGGTTCGGGGGTTTAGGGATTTCAAGGTTTTTGGGGGTTTCGGGGTTTCGGGACTTCCGAAGTTTTCTGGCTTCAGGCTTAGGGTTTGGGGCTCAGGGCTCGGGGTCAGGAGCAGAGGTTGGGGGGTATTTGCTTGAGTCGGAGGTTGGATTGCGGCTCTTGGGTGGGGAGAGACGTGGATGGTGTAAAGCTCAAGGGTGGGGGCTTTGGGGTTTCAGGGTTTAGGTTCTGAGATTTAGGGTTTTGGTTCTAGGTTTTGCGGGTTTGGGGTCTAGGGTTTGGGAAACTAAACTATGGTGTTCTGTCAGCTCTCTCTTCTGTTGGACCTCTCGCAGCTTGTCGTCTGAACAAGTGTTTTCAAGTCTGTGCCTGCTGTTGTACTCAGGAACTTTGTTGTGTACTTAGACTACGGATCAAGCATCTATATATATATATATATACACAGAAGTTGCCATGCACATGGAGTTCCATCCATGTCTTGTGTACTGTCGGTAGTCGACTGCATGTATAGGGCGTCTGTCTGTGGATTCGCCAGCTTGGGAAGCTTCCCTGTTTGCATTTGGCTTTAAAGACGTAGGAATAGATTTCAATAGAGTATGCCAGAAGCCCAAACCCCAAAGCGTCGACATAGCCCAGAAGCTAGTCGTGCCAAAGCCTGCAGCCGCAGCCAGCAAGCACTTGACCCCGAACCTGAACCTCAGACCCAAAAGCTCTAAATCCCTGAACCCTAAGCCCTAAACACCCGAAGCCCTACCCTGCACCCTCAACCCCTGAACCCAGATCCTCCCTAAACCATTCACCCGCGAAGCACCGGGCACTAAAGAAGACCGGAGCCCTCCAAACACCTTCAAAACAAGTCCAAACTCTCGGCGGAAACCCTGTTTCGAAGCAAAAAGCCCGAACCCCGCCAGCCGGAAAAATTGAAACCTTCAACCGCTCCCAAGAACTCTAGCCCCTAAACCCTGAACCCTAAACCCTAAACCCTAAACCTTAAACTCTGAACCCTAAGCCCTAAACCCTAAAACCCTGAACCCTAAACCCTAAACAGCCCCAAAAAGCCAACCCGCCCTTCCCATGGCGGGCGTCGGTCACCTGCCTGCGCTGGGCTTTGGGGAGAAGCTGAAGCACCACATCGATCAGCTGAAGGCAGTGAGGGCTTGTAGACGGGTCTGGGGTTAAGCTGCTTCTTGTTCAAGTTCCAGTGTGGCAGGTTCAGGGTTTCGAATCTACGACCTTGGATTCTTGGTTGAGGGTTCTGAGTCTGCGTTTTTCTGCTTCGAGGGGTTTGGCCTATGAGGTTTTGCGTTCCGGGTCTGTCCTTCAGGGTTCTCCCAAACTCTCTACTGTTGTCTGAGAATTCAAGCCTTCGTGTGATCCCACACTCTGCCTCAAAAATCGGGACCCTAAACCCTGAACCTTTTACCCCTTTCTGGTGCTTTGTCGAACCTGGCCGTGCTCTTTCAGTCTTCATTAGCAGATTAGCACGTGCGGCCAGAGGGTTCAATAGATATAGAGACGGATACAGGTACGTACAGATATAGATATAGATATAGATGTAGATGTAGATTTGTGTATGACCATGCACATATATTTTTCGTATATCGCATACATGTACATATACATGTACATATGCATCTGCACAGACATATATATATATATACTCGTCACGGCGCCATATTTATACTTTAGTATACACGCAGGCATATGTGTGTGTATATACACATATATCGTCATGTATATGGATGCATGCATGCATGTGTACATACATACGTACGTACATCCACACTTACGTACATGTATATATGTATACTATAAATACAACACACACGTCTATATGTATGTATGTATGTATGTATGTATCTATCTATGTATGGATGGATGGCAGGTTGGATGTATGTACGTATGTAAGTATGCATGCATGCATGCATGCATGCATGCATGCATGCATGCATGCATGCATGTAAGTATGTATGTATGTATGTATGTATGTATGTATGTATATATATATATATATGTGTGTGTGTGTGTATATGTATAAACAAATGAAGAAATACATACACAACACACACACACACACACCAACAAATAAACAACATGAGCAGAACATGGGCGCACTGGTACAGTATATGGCAGCTGCTTGTTTGCCGAAGTCTTGAACCCTAGGCCCTAGATGCTAAGTTAGCCCGAAACCCTGAACCCCTAACGACACAAGCCCAAAAAGGCGACTTTGCTGGAGGAGTATGAGGCGGAGGTTGCTGTGACGACGCACTGCGGCCAGCACATGAGGTCGCAAAGCCCTGTGAAGCCTGAACAGGTGGAGACCTGCATAAGCCCACGCCCCCAACCTTTGAACTGGGGCAGGGCTCCGGTTGAATGACCCAGATTCGCGTGCTTTCGGCACACTTAGCTCCATTCTGCAACAAAGGGCTTCTCCTGTGACCCCTAAACCCTAAAACCTAAACGATCTTCAAGCTCTGTGGCTCTTCGCCCTGAGCCCTTCAAGTAACATAGGGGCCTAACTAATTACCAAGACTATTGTGGGGTTCCTGATCATAGCTATTGTAAAACATACCGCCAATACCCGATTCTAGCTTTTAAGTTCCGTACTCTAACTGTAGTACAATGTTCTACTCAAGAATACTCTGATTATTAAGGCCCCTGTATTCCTGCATCTTACAGAATCTCGGAATCTGTGAGGCCCTGGACTCCCGTCCCCCAAGGCCCCACAAGCGGAAGCCCTGGACCCAGGAGCAAAAAGAAGCAATGCAAAAAGCAAATAGATAGATAAACAAGCAAGTACATAGAGATAGATAGATATATAAATAGAACGATGGCTAAGATAGAGAGATAGCCCTGAAGCCCACAAAACGGTTTAGGGTTTAGGCTACCTACACACCCCAAACTCCAAAAGTCAAAGACCCCAAGCCCTAAAAGCCTCAGATCCTAAAACCGCCTAAAACCCTAAGATCCTTGAACCCTAAACCCTAAACCCTAAACCCTAAACCCTAAACCCTAAACCCTAAACCCTAAACCCAAAATCTCAGGCACCCGGCCCCAAGGGGCTTGGTGGAGATGCGGAGCACTGTGGCACCCAGCTCCCGAGCTGTGAAAGGGCTCAGGGTTTAGGGTTTAGGGTTTAGGGTTTAGGGTTTAGGGTTTGGGGTTTAGGGTTTGGGGTTTCGGGTTTGGGGCCGGGGGTCTTCGGGCACATAGGGTTGGGGGGCGTAGGGTGGAGTTTTTTTTTTTTTTTTGTGTTTCTGTTCTTGTGGACTTGCTGGGTTGTAAGTTTAGGGCTCGTGAGGGCTTTTCGGGTTAGGCAGTTTTGGGTTGTTGATTTTCGGGATTCAATGCAAGGATGTTGGGCCTTAGGCTTTTCATTCTGCTCTTCAGGGCTTCACCATTCCAGCAAGAAGGTACTCTGGTTTGTGCAGAATGCTGGCGGGCTTATTGAAACCCTAAACCCGAAACCAACAACCCTCAACCCTAAACCCTAAACCCTCAACCCTCAACCCTCAACCCTAAACCCTAAACCCTAAACCCTGGCATGGGGTTGGAAAACGACGGGCGAGCCTCAACGCTGAGGCCTCGGTCTAGACAGCCAAAGCACAAACCCAAAGCCCTGAAAGTCCTAACAGTAACAGTTTCGATGCTCCCCAAAACTTTCAAAAAGTCATAGATCAGACCGTAAGAAGCAGTCTTGAAGACCAGCTACTTCAAGGCCCTCAACCCTAAACCCTAAACCCTAAACCCATTGCACTTTCAACAAAAACCTAAACCCTAAACCCTAAACCCTCCTAGAAGTCCTAGCTCCCTCCCTTACAGGTTGGGCACAAGCCTTCTCCTGTGCCTCCCTTGAGAAGTGCCGGGGCCTCATCCAAGGCTTTGAGTTGAGAGCCTCTGCTGGAATTCTACAGAGCTCAAAGGCTTTAGGGCTTTGGGTTTAGGGCTTTAGGGTTTAGAGTTTAGGGTTTAAAGGCTTTAGGGTTTAGGGTTTCTCCGATTCTACAGAGCTTTAAGGCTTAGGGGTTTAGGGCTTTAGGGTTTAGGGTTTCTCCGATTCTACAGAGCTTTAAGGCTTAGGGGTTTAGGGCTTTAGGGTTCTCCGATTCTACAGAGCTTAAGGGTGTAGGCTTTAGGGTTTAGGGCTTTAGGGCTTTAGGGCTTTAGGGCTTATGGGCTTAGGGCTTCAGGGCTTTAAGGTTTCTGGGTTTAGGGTTTAAGGTTTACAATTTAGGGTTTATAGCTTTAGGGTTTTGGGTTTAAGGTTTAGGGTTTAGGGTTTCTACAGTAGCTGCGTCTTTGGAGCGTGCGGAAACGGTTTTGTTGTAATTTTGTTTTTGGTTTTGACGGTGTCTAGGGCTTGATTTCCGGTTTGTAGGGGTTTATTGTTGTTGCGGCTCTGAGTCTCAAGAGTTCGCAGTCTCTTTCCCCTAAGACTCTGTATGAGCATCTAGCTCAAATTCCCCAAATCCTATTTCGCATAGTTTCGACTTGCCTTCCATTCTCTCCAGAACCCACAACTCTCTAAACCCCCTAACCCTAAACGCCAAACCCCCTAAACCCTGAACCCTAGACCCTAAACCCGTAACCCCAGACCTTAAGCCCGAGCCGCTGACGAAAGCCCTCCGTGGTTCAGGCAGGACCAGGCCAGCGCTCAAGATTTCCCAGGTCCAGCGCAGCCTGGCCATACAGCCCTGGGTTCTGTGATTTGGGTTTAGGGTTTGTTTTGTTTTGGTTTTTAGGGTTTAGTGTGGTTCAGGTTTTTGGGTTTATTTTGTTTAGGGTTCAGGTTTTAGGGTTTAGCGTGTTTCGGGTGTGGGGTTAGGGTTTATAGGGTTTATTTTGTTTAGGGTTCGGGTTTTAGGGTTTAGTGTGTTTCGGGTTTGGGGTCAGGGTTTAGGAATTCGGGCGCAGGACTATGACTAAGGCTTAGGGTCGAGGGACCCACGGTTTGAGGTTCAGGGTGCTGTGGGCCTATGGAACCTCGTGTTTTCTCGTTCATTCCGCCTGAGTGCTGCTACCTGTTTACGTCCCTACACCACAAACCCAAAACCCTAACTCCTAGCCCCTATAGACCCTAAACCCTCAACTCTTCTTGCTGTGTCTGTTGTCCCGCCTTGTGCTCCGGAACAAAGTGAGTAGACCACGCCAATAATAATCCCTAAACCTGATGCCCACAGTCCCGAAAGCCTAAACGATTAAGGGCTCAGGATTTAGATTTTGAGGAATTTTTAAGGTATTCGAAACCCAAAACTGAGTTTAACAGACGTCTACCACATCAGGCCATGCGTCTCCCGTCCTCACCGACGTGGTGGCCGCGGCGGCGGTGGCTACGAACCAGCAGAAGGAGGCCTCGGCAGTCGACTTCTGGGATCCGGCTTTCGGTGAGAGATTCAGGTTTCGTGGTTAAGGTTATGAGTTTAGGGTTTAGGGTTTAGGGCAGTTTAGGGTTTCGGGATTAAGGTTATGACCTTAAAGGGTTTTCGATTTGTTCCGTGAGGGTTCTACGAGGGTTCTAGGGTCTGGGGTTGCGGGGCATTAGGTTAGCGTCATCATTGCTGGACTTGGGTAAAGTCAAGTTAAAACTCCTGAGCTGCAGCTATAATATAATAATAACCCCACTTCTAACGACCCACGAACCTCACAGCGGGGTCCAACCGATCTTACACCCCAAGCTCTAAATCCTAAACCCTAAACCCATCTGAACCCATAGCCCCAAACCCTAAACCCTAAGCCCCAAACCCTAAGCCAGTTCAGGCCTTTGTGGCTGCGAGCGGCGATTCGGACTCGGAGGGTGGTGAAGGCGCAAATGGCCGGGGTGTGGAGAAGTGGGGGGCTCTGGGTCTTCTCGCTGCTTAGGGTTGCGGGCTTGGGGTTTAGGGTTTAGGGTGACGGGCTTGGGTTGTAGGGTTCATGGTTTAGGGGTTTAGGGTTTAGGGTTACTGGTTTGGGTTGTAGGGTTCATGGTTTAGGGGTTTAGGGTTTAGGGTTACGGGGTTGGGGTTTAGGTTTAAGGGTTACGGGTTTGGGGGTAAGGGTTACGGGTTTTCTAGGATTCAGGGTTACGGGTTTCGGGTTTGGGGTTTAGGGATGTGTGATGCCTCCTTTCCGCGTTCTTCTCCATGCATCTGGCTACTCTATCTTGCCTTGCAGACAGACATGTGTCTCTATTCCTACACCCTAAACCCTAAACCCCTAAATCCTAAAGCCTGACACCCTAAGCCTTCTGTCGACTTCTTGCGTTTTCGGGTATCTTCTTTCATCGGGCCGCTGCCAGCAAGGAGCGAACCGTAGCTTGGCAGGAAGCCTGAAGCACAGCAACCTCATCGGCAAGATCCCTGCGGAGTTCATGACGATGGCTGCTGCTTTCCTGCTGGCGCGGGATGCGAAGGAGATCGCGCAACCCTGTCTCTCTCTCTCTCTCTCTCGCTTTCTGTTTCTCTCTCTCTCTCTCTCTGTCTCCCTCGCTCTCACTCTCTCCCTCTCTTTCTTTATCTCCCTCACCCTCTTTCTCTCGTTTGCATGTGCTTCGGAAAAGTTCGTGTTCGGTGACTTAAGTGCGTTTCCCCACACCAGCGGTCGACTGAGTCATAGTCGTTCAGTTCTCAAGCAGGCCCTTGCCGATGCCTTGTAGGTCAGGAACGAGATGCCTTGAGGTGTAGGGTCTACCTGGACCCTGAAGAACCTACTTCTTTAGGGCTCCTTATCATGATTTCCTTATACAAATCCTTTAAAAAAGGTAGGTTCTTTGGGGTTAAGGTAGGGTCTAGCGGACCCTAAACCCTAAACCCGTTATGATGACTTCAGGATTCGGGATTTAAAAGGTCCAGGGCTTGCGACACGGCCCTTACGCACTGAAGGCCTTGGGGTGTGCGATAGTAGAATTACATAGGGACTACGGAGGGATAGCATGATTCTAAACCCTAAACCCTAAACCGCAAACCCTAAAACCTAAACCGCATCAGAAGCCTAAAGTTTGCCTAAAGCCTCCAAGAGTTGCCAGCGCTCCGGACAGGCTACGGGAACCCCAACGTGTGGGTAGTTCTCTAAATTAGGGTCCCTTTTTATAAAAAGGGTTTAGGGTTTAGGGCCCATTATAGTACGGCACCCTTATAAAACGGACCCTTAAAAGGGACCCAATTTAGAGAACAACCCGTTTGGAGGTTGGGTGTAGTCTACGGCTCAGGGCTAAGGTTCTTTTGTCTCAGAGACTTGTCACGACTGTCATAATAATCAGCATACTTCTACAATTATTCGGGTCATTCGTAGCGCAACATCACTACTACCATGATCGTTGTTGTTCCGGTCATGATGATGATGGCGATGATGGCGATGATGATGGCGATTATGAGCCTTGTTGTTGTTACTTTCTTGAACACATATTCATGTTTTCAGTCGTCTTTGCTAGTGTTGCTGTTGGGTTTCTTGTCGATCGCAACGGGGGGTTGGAAAGGAATCCCGGCTGCTGCCTTAGTCTGGGTTAGGTCGCGCTGTCGAGTTCTTGGTTGAACATTTCCCGGTGTGCTCTCCGAGAGATTCGTTCGATCAAAATCAGACGCCGAGTAAATCGCAATTTCGCATACAAAGCTTTCGGGAGATCCCCATCAAGTCAACGCCGAACAACACACCTGCCTACCTGCCACGAGCCTCTGGCTGAGTTACGAGATATAAATGAATCGATTTCTTCTGCTCTAAACTGCGGTGCCCTCACACCAGTCGAAGCAGTGGTGCCAGCTAAAGCACCCTAATCCAACAAAGCACCCTCAAATCTCGCAAGTGCGGAACTCAGGGCCTTGGTTCTCAGGGTTTTGGCGTTTCGAGTTTAGGGGTTTAGGGCTCAGGGTTTACGATTTCGGCGCTATCTTCAAAACTCCTGAGCAGAGCTGCCACGGAAGGAGCTCACGCCCACGATGCGATGGGGCAAACTCGTCTTCGGCGGCCCAGCTGCTACCAGCTAGACACGTCAAAGACAAGTAGTCCCGCAGCTTAAACCTTAGACCCAAATCCTCCAGCATGAATTAGCGAAGTATGAGCAGACTGTCATGGTAAATCCACGGTGAGTGCAGGAAGTGACCCCCCCCCAAATTTCTGAGTACCCTGAACCCCAAACAAACAAACCCCGACAAAATGGTTTTTGATGTCGATATGAGGTCTCCCCACCCCAGTAGAGCTGAACTCAACACCCCCTTGCTGTACAGCCTTCGATCTCACTTGCTTACACATCCCGAACCTAAAACCCTGAGCTCTGGATCTGAAACTCCACACAAGAAGTCACTCAGCCTGATATCCGAACCCCGGACCTTCTATCGTCAGCCCAGGCCCTGAATGAACGCTCCTACATTCTCAACCCCAAGTAGCAATGTTTAAGGCACTTAGGCCCTTAGGTTTTAGGGTTTGGGGTTTAGGAATTAGGGACTTAGGGAAGCCCTGAACCCCTGATCCTTAAGCCCTGAACTCTCTGAAAGCCCTTGTGAACCGCGAAGGCTTGGAGAACCCGCAGGAGAAGCCGCCGGAGGTCAAGGCTCTGTCGCTGAAGGCAGGGAGCTGATAGAGGTAGCTCTCTAAATTAAGGTCCTTTTTGGGGGTTCCTTAAAGGGAGGTTTCTCTAGGGTTTCTTTCTATAAGGTTAGCGAGCTTGTTTTCACTGGTGCCTTGGGCTGCGTTACAGTTTATTTTACGTGGCAGGCGTGGGACTGTTCATTGTAAGCTATTTTGGTGCCTTAAAAAGCTAGTCTCAACATCTATGCAACTTCAAGCGTCGAATCGACCGATGGTTGGGACATGGATGCTCTGCGAAAACGGATGGGGTCTGGGTGGACGTTATCATGGTTGGGACATGGATGCTCCGCGTGATGATGGTGGTCTGTGGGAGAGGCGGCTGGACAGCATATGCAAAAAAGTGCAAAAACATGCGATAAAAAACGCGATGACGCCCTCTATCTGCCAAAACACACACGACAACGCCCTGGATGTGCAAAAAACACATGCAGACGCCTGAGGGCTCTATCGGGTAGTTCTGAATTAGCGCTCCTTTGAGGGTCCTTTTTTACAAGGTTGCCGTACTATTTGGGGGACCTTAAAGGGGACCCTTATTTGAAGAACTACCCATATATTTGGGTTTTTAGACCTTCACGTAAAGGTTTTTAGCGGTGATTTGGGGCTAAGGGTCTAGGGTCTTGGGCTTGCGGGTGTTTGGGGGTGTTGGTTCTGAGGGTTTGCATGATGGGGTTTCTGCTCAATTGCTGTTTTCTGGAGTACCATACTTGAAGAATCTTTTCTGGACCTGTTCCTTAAAGGAACCATTCTGAAATGAAAGTCTATACTTTTTGCCTGTGGTTTTGGTTTAGGGAGTTTCAGGCTTGCAGGTTCAATCAAGGGTTAGGGTTCAGGGTTCAGGGATTTCTTCGGGTTTGGGGGTGTAAGGCTTGGGGAGCATAAAAAGTAGTTATGTAAGCCCACTCTCTTTTCAAGGATGCTAGCTTGAACACTTTAGGTTCAGGTCCGTCAAGCTCCTAGGAGCCCTTGCTTTTACCCTAAACCCTAAACCCTAAACTCTAAACCCTAAACCCCATAATCCCTGAGCCCTAAACCCTAAACCAGAGAGCTCTTGTTTGGGGCTTGGACGGCTAGGCGCTGCTTCAGACTCAGGGGCTGGGCATGAAGCTTTGGGTTCTGGATTTCCGGCTTAGCCTTTGGGGTTTTGGGTTTAAGGCTTAGGGTTTATAGGGTTTGGGGTTTAAGGGTTAGGGTTTATCGGGTTTGGGTTAAGGGGTTAGGGTTTATAGGGTTTGGGGATTAAGGGTTAGGGTTTATAGGGTTTGGGGTTTAGGGGTTAGGGTTTATAGGGTTTTGGGTTTAGGCCTGAGGGCTTGTACTTCTTTCGGGGCTTTTCCAGGGATCCGAACCGAAAACTTCCTCTGGACTCGAAGCTAAAGCCTGTAGGTTCCCGATTGAAGGGGCTGGAGCCTAACAGTCTAAACCCCAAACCCTATAAACCCTGCTGAGCCAAAAAAACCTCGCCAAAATCCGAAAGCCCTAAACCTATAAACCTGAACCCCCGGCAGACTTTGAAACCCTCACAAGCCCCATCAAAACCCTTGTTGCCCGTACTTGTAAATCTCCAAAAGATGTTTTCACATCAATGCAGCAACCCTTGTGGTAACCCTTATTGTGGCCCTTACAGCAATCCTTCCAGCAAACCCTCAACCCTAAACGCCACAAGCTTGTGCTTCCAGGTCTATGACCAGTGGTCCAACTGCGAGCCGGATGCAGAAGGCGTCACGCGCGACGTGCTGCGCTGCAACTCCGTGCTGAAGGTGGGGGAAACTTAAGGGGTTTGAGTAGTTTTAGGGTTCAGGGCTTCTACGGGAGTTTTGGGAGTTTGTATTAAACGCTTTCGCGTCGTCCGCCTCGGCCCCGGCCGCAAACAAAGAGGGCCAACGAACTGCCGGTGCCTTGAAGGCGCCGTTGGCGGAGCGGGAAGGGGAGGAGACTGCGTACAAAGGACAAGCAGGGCAAACGGGAGGGAAGGGGGCGGGAAGGGGCCCGGAAACGCCGAGAAGAAGGGGGGGGAGGGGTGGACTCCCTACAGCGAGCATTGGAGTCCATCATTGGAGGAGGCGAGATTTCACCAAAGGACCTTGGGGCTCATTTATGGGTTCACACAGAAGAACCCCCCCCCAGCCTGAATCGTAACCTCTACCCAAGTCCCCACAAAGCCCCAACGGTGAACCCTAGGACCCCTCTTTTGCCCGAATCCGATGAGCCTCCACGAGCCTTGAAAACGCGACCCCTTTTTAGGGTTTGGTTGAGGGATTTTGGGTTTAGGGATTTAGGGTTTAGGGGTTTAGGGGTTTAGGGATTTAGGGTTTAGGGGTTTAGGGGTTTAGGGATTTAGGGTTAGGGGGTTTAGGGACTTAGGGTTCGTGAAATGAAATGGTCCTGCGAAGGAGGAGGCGATGCGAGTCAACACCAGGCTGATAGACACTTTGGCAGCATTTCTTGGGCTTTTTTAAGAGGTTATTAGGATCTGTCCCTAGGCTATAAACCCTAAACCCTGAAACCCCCCCCTAAACCCTAGACCCTTACACCCTAAAACCTTTAGGGGTTGGGGTGGGGCAAGGGGGGGTGGCTTAAACGTTTCCGATGTTGGGGAAGGCCCCAGGCTCAGAGTGCGGGCGCTCCTGACATCAAATCTCTGCCTTCGGACATATGAGTAATTCTATAAATGGGGTCCATGTTTAGGTCCCCTATATAGTACGGCACCCCTATAAAAAGGACCCTCAATGGGACCGTAATCTAGAGAACTACCCATATGAGTCGACTTCCGCTTTTGTCAAGGCATGCGGAATAAGTGGTATTGTCCCCTTACTAGTGTCATTATTGTTATGAGTATTGTTATCATTATGACTGTTATTATTCTTGTTATTATTAGGATTATTAAAGTTGTCATGTTCATTATTGTTATTATAGTCCTTCTTATAGCTGTAGTATAGTAACCGAGGACGGCCGATCCTGCATGCAGCCCTTCATCATGCATCCGGACACGGCCTTCAAGGCTGTCTGGAAGCTCGCCGCAAGAAGAAGGTTCAGGTTTCAGGTGAAAGATTCTAAAACTTCGGGTTTATAGGGTTTAGGGTACAGGGTTTAGGGTTTAGGGTATAGGGTTCAGCAGCTCCGGGTCGAGCTGTTTTACAATAAGATTTCGGTTTGAATTTCTAGGGCTTCGGGTTTAAGGTTTTGGGAGTTGGGGTTTAAGGTCAGGGAGTTTGCGTTTAGGGATCTGGAAGCTCGCCGCAAAGAAAAGGTCAGGAAAGGTGTGCTAGAGGGGCCTAAATATTTTCTGGTACCATTTTGGGGCTCCTTACTATACCTTTTTAATGATATACACCAAAACTCGATTCTAATATTGAAGCCCCTGTATGGTGGGGTTTCGGTTTGAGGGTTTAAGGTTGAGGTTCAGGGTCAGGGTTCCGGGACCTGAAATCATCCCGAAGGTCACGCTTTGCTTAGGGGGGGGGGGGTCGGGAGACTAAACCCTAAACCCTAAACCCTAAACTTAAACCCTAAACCCTAAAGCCTAAACCTTAAAACCTAAAACCTGAACCCTAAACCGTGGTGCTGAGGGGTGGGGCAGATGTGGCTTTAGGGCCAAATGGCTTTGACGGTTTGGGCCCTTATCCGTAAATCTGATTTCTTAAGTACCCGTCTAGGGAGATAATAATTAAGGGGTTTAGCACATGATACCCTTTCCAAATTATTGTAGCCTAGATTGAGTTCCTCAGCTTTCTGACTTGTTTCATCCTGTTTCTTCGCCGGCACATCTTGCAGGTAGGAGCAACTGGTTTTCAGCGTATAAGTCTTTTTCGTCGACGGTGCGCATAGTTGCAGAATATTCCACTAAGCCAATTCTTGCTTGCGTTCACAACCATTGCCAACATCATACCAGTCCCTGTTTTTGGGTTGTGGCATATAACTTATAACTCCACAGCCCTCTTCGGATCAATAAAGGGGTGGGTCATCACCATTATCCCAGCTTTTGTATTGCTAGACCAAGGACCTGCTTTGGCAGGAGCCTCTCTGCCCTAAGCCGTACACCCTGAACCCTCAAGCCTAAATTCCTATACCCGAAGCCGTACACCCTAAACCCTAAACCCTACACCCTAAACCCTAAACCCTAAACCCTAAATCCGACACCCTAAATCCTCAGAGCGTCAAGGACCTGCTTTGGCGTGGGCTTCATCTGCTGGGATCTCCTGACCGTGCCCCTGGCGCTCTTCGAGGTTGGCAGTGCCATGCAAGCCATGATCGAAGTGATGAGCCGCTTGGTTAATATAAGGGCCTTAATAATTACCTATACGATCTTGGGTGTTCCTTATTATAAACATAGTGTAAAAGGCCCCACAACCCTATTCTAATTATTAAGGCCCCCACATCACGGTGTAGGGTGTCGGGTTTAGGGCTTTAGGGATTAGGGTTCAGAGTTGAAGGGTCTAGGGTTCCCTAAACCCTAAACCCTAAACACTAACGGTTAGGCAACCCAAGATCCGGTTAAAATGTATCATTTCCATCGCAAGGCTATGCCTCCTTCTGCTTCTGGGTCATCGACCTGCTTTTGAACTTCGTGCCGCTGGGCTCGAGGTTTTAGGTCTGCTTCTGATTTAAGATGTTGGGTTTTTGGGGAGCTGGAATGTTGGGTGCTAGCGTTTGGTTTCGTTTTGGGTTTAGAGGCTTAGTCGAGGGGTAGAATTGTTGAGATGCTTCTTGCATCTCAGAAGTAGCAAGCAACGTTCAACGCTGGCTTGGCACATTGGCAGAAACAGCAGCTCGTCTAAGGACTGGCATGGAGATGCCCTATGGCCTGGAGTTCCGTCCCAAGAGGCTCGGGTTCAGGGCTTGGCTTTGAGTTGCTTAGGTGCTGCTGCCGCTGCCTCTTCCTGCGAGCGAATTTCTGCCCACAGTCGCTGTTGGTGTTAGAAGTCCCAGTGCTACTGAGAATTCCTGGTGGTATAAGTACTATGGGTGCGATAAGCAGATACGATACTTCCACGAAGATTTTCACTTGTGTTGCTAGCATGACTGTTTTGCTTGCTACCGTCACTGCTTGCTGTTATCCCTGCCACTACTATCCGTCCACTTACTACAACTCCTCTTGCCAGCACTATCCTTGCTAATTTAGGCTTTTTTCAGCGCGCTCGTTTTTGTCAATTTCGTTGTTCTTCTGCTTACTGTCAGTATTGGGATCATTAGTAAAATTGCTGGTCGCGCTGCTCTGTTGCAGCTCTCATGCTCAACTCATTCTTCCCACGAGAAGCTTGGGTATTTGGTTTATACGATACGAGGTGGCGCTCATCACGGTAGAACCGTTGTATTGGTAACGATGATGCTGGTGATGCTGATGGTGGTGATAGTGACTGGTAGTGGCAACAGTGATGATGGTGAAGACGGTGGCGGCGACGATGACGTTCAGATCCGAATCTGTGCCATGACGGTAGCGACGGTGACGCGAGCATTTGCTACAACACACTTTCCCCCTGTGGTTTTCTTACAGTCAACCTCGAAACCGAAACCCCAAACCCTAAAGCGTAAACTCCAGACTCCAGACCCCAAGCCGTACACCAAGACCTACGCCCGGAGGATCGCTATCAATTACCTCAAGTCTTGGTTCCTGCCCGACCTGGTCATTGCAGGGGTCTCAGCTACAGCCAACCATGGCAACTCGGAACCCCTCACCCCCCGACACAAAAATGGGGGATTCCTACGGTCTCTATTCAATCTCCCGGCTTTCAACACGGCCATCCTGGAACACCGAACTGCCAATATCCAGCCCACGATACAGCCTGGGTTGAGAGGATGCCCCAAGCCCTAAGCCACAAACCCTAAACTCCCTTTTTCGACCTCTTGGGCCGTGGGTTTTTTTCGGGCCTTGTGGGCCGTTTGGCGAGATGCAGAGGCCCTACGAGCCGAATTGCCGAAGTCTAGCTTCTCGTTTCAAAAACCCTTAGGTCAAGCCTTAGGTTATAATCCTTTGCTGACCACCTGATAGTGAACCCCCCCGCAAGCCGGAATATAGACGCTTGAATGTTTTGCAATACCGGTGCGTGTAGGGTCGCTTATGATCAGAATCATACGAGATTCTAACCCCAAAGCCTATCCCAATTTGTGCAGACCCATATGTTCAGACCCCCACGGCGAAGACGGACGGTGCACCCTCCTAGCCCAAGGTGGGACACTTGGTAGGACCCCTGTAGTGCGCTTTAGGACCCTCATAGGACCCTTCGGGGACCCTTTCATAAGCATCCTTCGGCCAAGCTGTCAGAACATCGGACGTAAGCTGCCAGGTCCTGGTGGATGTGGGCTTGAAGGCTGCGCTCTTGGTCCTGGCGGTTTTGGGGTTGAAGAGCTTGCTTATTTGCGGTTTGGCGTGTGAGGATTTGGGGTTTTAGGGTCCGAGGTCTCTAGGGGGAGCCCCAGACTGGGAAGCTCGTATGTATGGATTGAGGTTGCGGGCCGGGTTTAGAGTTCGGGTTTATATAGGTTTTATAAGACTCAAAGAGGATTTCATTGGTCCCTAAACCCTAAACCTGAAACCATCAACCTTCAACCCACATGTGAGTGTTGGGGCTTCGAGTTTCATGTCATTCGTACGGCCAAGAAGAAGCGCCACGCACGGCTGCCACTGGGCCCTAAACAAACACTCCACGGTTCGCAAACAAGAGAAAGCAGAAGCAACAAGAGACACGTTAATGCAGGAACCTGATTAAGAAGCCCTGGCGCTATAACCCCCATCTATTAGGGCTCATATGAATAACCCTAATAAAGGCCCCAGGGTTTCTTAATCAGGTTCCTACATAAGCCCTAAACCCTACCCTAAACCCTAACCCCATTACTCATGAAAGTCGTTGCATAATGCGACCACTCGCAGCTAAGAGCTGACCCCACGATTGCTCCGAGGATGCAGACAGCGAGCTTGGTAAGTAGGCCATAAGCAGGGTTTAGGGGGTTCGGGTTTAAGGGTTTAGGGTTTAGGGGTTTAGGGTTCCAGGGTTTAGGGGGTTAGGGTTTAATTTACGGGTTTAGGGTTTAGAGTTTAGGGGTTTAGGGTTCCAGGGTTTAGGGGGTTAGGGTTCGGGGTTGTAAGACACTAATATAGGGGGCCTTGATGATTAGAAGAGAGTTTTGGGGCTCATTCTACTATAATCAGAATAAGGAACCCCAAAGTAGTATGGGTAATTATTTAGGCCCCTGCATTAGGATAGCATCGGCGACTCATGAAGCACTCGTGCCGGAAAGTCGCGGGAGGTCACCGAACTGGTGGCGGCGAACTCTTCTGACTCGCTCAGCTCCTCGTTGGGGGTTTTAGGGTTGAGTGTCACTGAGTGGCTGGGGTTGGTGCTGTTGGGTTGAGGGTTTCGGGTTTCGTGGTCAGGGGTTCCTAAACCCTAAACCCTAAAGCGGTTCGCACTTCCGAGAATCTTAAGTCTGAAGCCCAAGCGTTCGAACCTGGAATCTCCCGAGGGTCCATTGCAGATCCTGGATGCTGGTCTTGGATTCCTTATTTATACTACTACCCAAAACCGAAAAGGGAGCCAATTTCAATCCTTGGATAATGTTTGCCTTGCTCTGTGTGCCTTTGGACTTAGGGTTTAGGGGTTACTGTTTACGGGTCAGGGTTTCCTGTTTCAGGGAGCTTTCCGAACTAAGTGAGTCCTCAGGACCCTGATCCCCAATTCTAAACCCTAAACCTCAAACCCNNNCCTAAACCAGAAACCCCAAACCCCAAACCCCAAACCCCAAACCCCAAACCCTAAACCCTAAACCCTAAACCCGAAACCCTAAACCCTAAACCCTAAAAGCCCTAAACCCTAACACACACATTGGAAGACCGGTGAGGCTACGTGCGGCTGCTGCGGGTGCTGCGGTTCCTGCGATTTATCCGGCTGCTTCGCATCTCCAAGGCCGGCATGTTGGCAGCTCCGTGCAGCGTGCCCGAGAGAGAAAAGGGAGGCGTGAGTTAGTAGTAGTAGTACAAGTAGTAGTAGTAGTAGTAGTAGTAGTAGTAGTAGTAGTAGTAGTAATTAGTAATTAGTACTACTACTACTACTACTACTACTAGTACTAGTCTTAGTACTAGTACGAGAACTAGGAGTACTAGAAGTACTAGTAACTAGTAGTGGTAGTGCCTGCTAGGTGCCTTTCGTGTCAAGCTGCATGCTGCTCACTCACAATTGTCGTAATTGCGAGTTGGTGTTGTCGTTGGTTCTGAGGGAGCCGGTGCTGCTGGCGCTGCTGGTGCTGCTGGGGGTGGTGGTGATGGTGGCTGCACGGTGGCAGCGGTTTGTGCCGCCTCGCCGCTGCCGCTGCCATTGTTGTCTGCATATGACCTACTGCAGATGCTGCTGGAGGTCGCTGTAGTCAAGTGCAGGCGCTTGTCAGCATCAGCTCTAAATGCAGACGTGAGACTCAAGCTTGGAACACTCCCTTCTAGACCCCTGTATGAAGTCCCGAAACCCTCAATTCCTGAACGTTTGATCCCGAAGAGGCAAGTAAGTCGGTGGACATCTCGAGCTCTTCGCGCTTCTTCCCCTTCTTCGCACTACCCTGAGTGAGGTACCTCTCGTTCTCGTTGTGAATTCGTGCTGTTCCCTGTGATGTCGGTGAAGATGGGATGCTGGTATGGTCGGTACGTTGCTACTGTTGCCGTTGTTGTTGCTAGTGGCAAAGGCTATGTTTTGTGGTAGTTATTGTTGTTGCGCCGACATTTATCCTGAGGCTGCTCTTCGAGTCAGTAAACTTGTGTTGTTGTTGGTGGTCGCGTTGCTGCGGTTGCTTTCGCCAAGATTATACCACTGTCATTTGTGCTGAAGCTGCTGCTAACGCTGCCGCCGCCGCTGTTGCTGCTGGTATTAATTAATTGTTCATGCTGTGGCTGTTGCGGATGTTGCAGTTGTTGCGATCAATGCTGCTATGTTGCTATCGCTGCTGATGCTGATGCTGATGCTGCTGCTGCTGCTGCTGCTGCTGCTGCTGCTGCTGCTGCTGCTGCTGCTGCTGCTGCTGCTGGCGCTGACGCCGCGGCGCTGGTGCTGGTGGTGGTGGTGGCTGTTCGTAGTGTGTTACTGTTGTTGTTGTTGTTGGTGGTGGTGCTGCTGCTGGCCGTTCCACTGCTGCTGCTGTTGCACCTGACGCTGTGTGTGGGCACTGGCGCTGCTGCCCAAAGCTTGCCGCTGCTTACATACATGCTCGTGTTAGGCCATAACTTGTTATCGTTGATGTCGCTGCCCTCAATGTCACCGTCTTGCGCTGGGCATCGCTACTGCTTGCTGTTCCGGTTGGTGTTGGTACTCTTACAGAGGTCGTTGGCAGGTTGAGGGTTGTGCTAGCTGTTGGCTGCTGACTGTCTTCTTGCTGCGGACCTTGTCGTGGCTGCTGTCGTCAGTGCTGTTGTCGTCGTCGTTGCTGGTGCTGTCGCCCGTTGTGTTGTTGCTGTTGGTGTTGCTCTTGGTGTTGTGTCGTTACTGGTGTTGTGGGCTAGTCTTACGATGGTGATGTTGATGATGACTGAGGTTGCTCTTACTGTAGCTGTTGTTGATGTTGATGTTATTACTGTTGTCGCTGTTGCCGTCGCTGCCACAAATGATCACTACTGCTGCTACTGCGGCCGCTGCTGCTTCCAAATTGTCACACTTCCATCCGCATGGTTGACGAACGCGTCTGAGCATATGGGGGTTTCCGAAAATTAGGGGACCCTGATATAGTACCCTAAATAATAGGATCCTTATTACCAGGACCGCCAAAAAAAGAGGCGCCCCTTATCTTGGGAAACCCCCCCATATTTACAAAGCAAGGCCTGTAACCAGGGTCGCGTGATCTGGTCTTCTCGGCAGGTTCTCCTGGAATGACTCTGGCAATCTGTCAAGGGTTCAGAAGCCCAGGATTAGGGTTTAGGGTTTAGGGTTTAGGGTTCAAGGGTTCAGAAGCCCAGGATTAGGGTTCAGCTTTGGCTGCCCTTTTTGAGTCCGTCACCACATTGCCATGATTCTTGTTAGAATGCTCCCAAACACTGCAGCAACAGTCCATCGTCAGCTCATGAGCCCGGATCCTAGGCGCTTTAAACACAAAACAGAGCAGGAGGAGCCGGGGAATCGCTGCGGGGAAAGGCTCGAGAGGCGGGGCGGGGTAGGGAGGATCCCGGACTCCCCAAACTTGACTCAACCCATTGTGAACTAGCACCCTAAAGCCCCTAAACCCAAACCGCCTAAACCCAAACCCCCTAAAACCCTAAAGCCGCTAAGCCCTAAAACCCCTAAGCCCTAAACCCTAAAACCCCTAAACCCCTAAACCCTAAAACCCCCCAACCCCCAAACCCTTTCCGATCCGATGTCGGCTCTTTGGTGCCTCGAGGCCGAAGAAAGTGCCGAAGGTTCTGCTGGCTCGTGAAGGCAAAGGTGTACACCTGCCGTTTTGAGGGTTTAGGGGTTAGGGTTTAGGGGTTAGCGTCCAGGAGGTTGGAGATTTTTTTTGTTTTAGGGTTTGGATTGTATGATATTATAGTATGCTATCTTGTGAGGAAAATATGAGAAAGCATACTATACTAAGTACCTCATATACTATGTTTTGTTCTGTTGTGCTACATCATATTCTTAAGATGGCTGGGAATATCGGATGTGAAGGGCTCACTCTACGCACAGAAAATGATAACGTCGCCAAGCGGATCCTTCTGCGAGCTTTTGAACCCTCAGTGGTACCTTCACATGTTCTCTTGTTGCTATAGCTCGGCTTTGTTTAGGATACTACTACTATATAGCACAATATAATCTAATGTGATACAGTATAACACAATATAGTAAAATTCAATAGAACTAAGTACACGACAAGATGAGATACGAGAAGGTAAGATAAAGATAACGATAAGACATGATCATATAAGGCATAATGCAACGTAGTAAATTACAATAGAGCAGACCAGGATAGACCAGAATAGAATCTTATATAAGATAATAGATTAGATTACAATATCATCTAATACATGATTGCCAGTCTGATGAAGTTGATATGTCCGGCCTGAAGCGCAGGTTCTCTGCCATGATCCATCACCTGGGAACTGGTGGCTGAGGGGCTGAGGGCTTCAAGCCGCAATGGAGGCCGAGGGGAGCTAAGGGTCCCATGGGGTTTAAGGCTTTAGGGACAAAGGGTTTAGGGTTTAGGGATTGAGGGTTTAGGGATTGGGGTTTAGGGTTTAGGATTTAGGATTTGGAAAGGTTCAGGCCAGGCTTGATGCTTGGGCAGTCGTCGAGTGCATGAGCAACGATGCTTCGAGGGCCGTCCTTCCAAAAAGAATGGCAGTACAGTGCTAGTACTAGTAGTACTAGTAGCAGTAGCAGTAGCAGTAGCAGTAGCAGTAGCAGTAGCAGTAGCAGTAGCAGTAGCAGTAGCAGTAGCAGAAGCAGGAGCAGGAGCAGGAGTAGTAGTAGTAGTAGTAGTAGTAGTAGTAGTAGTAGTGGTTGTAATGGCGGTAGTAGTAGTAGAAGTAGAAGTAGAAGTGGAAGTAGAAGTAGAAGTAGAAGCAGTA